ATTTTCTTAAAATGATCCCACACTTTTGAGCTCTGTTGTCAGGTAGCCATGATACCAGAGCCTGTCTGTATAATGTCTTGTGACGTCCACGGTCTACAACAGTTACCACTACTGTGCATGTGTGTCAAGGACAGAAAGGCAGATGTGGCAGTGGAAGGTGTCAAAGCAGTTTGGAGAGAAAAACAAAGTAAAGACCAAGAAAAAAAACCCAGATTAATCGATTATTAAATTAGTCATAGATTATTTTAATAATCGATTAGTCGTCGATTAATCGACTAATCGTGGCAGCCCTAGTCATCTGGTTGAAAAACAAAGCAAAAAACAGGAGAAACCGATGAGGATCAGACTTGATGGAGGAGTTATGTTTCTGCAGCTGAACAGTGAATATGAGAAACTTGTGTCTGAGTTTTGAACTTGTTACAAAAAAAGAAAAATAATCTACTGCGTGCTTATCAGAGCTCCTGTTTACATTAGGTCTGGTAGCTCTTTAGTCATGAGTATATATACATTTGTTTTGTTCTGTTGTTGATTTAAGCTTCAGACTGTAAATATGCTGTGTCCTCCATCACATTCATTTTAATTCAGAGCTGCACCAGAGTCTGAGGAAATGTTTGCTTTCTTTGTAATGCTCTTGTTTTTTTAACGACACAGAGTGAAACTAAACTCAAGACACTGTGGGTCACTGTCGAAACTTCGTACCCGTATTTTCTGGTTGGACAGAAAAGAGAAACCTATTTTCTGGAAAAACCCTTGGTGAGGATGGTAATACTGGAAGTTCAGATCACTCAGCAGGGTTGCAGTTGTGGAAAAGCAGTCTAAATGAGCACACAGAGAGAGCGAAAGGCAGCAGACCCACACACACTGAGCCCTTTTATAGATTTTCCCAGGCAGCAGGGCTGTGCTCAGCCTCACTGGGGAATAAGCCAGAATAGGTTCCACATGGTTCCTCTGCAGCCAGACCATGCGCACAGCCACAAAGGCAAACACACTCTCACACAAGGGTCTATACATACAAGTAGCACACTATGCACGTCTATAACAAATGAGCGGAGCCGGGCCAAAATCCAGTCAGTCTCCACATGGGCCTCTGACTGACGGGAGAGTCTCTGAGTCAAAGAGATTTCCCCAAATTACCGAGGTGCGGACAAAGCTGCTGGCACAGAGTTACGACTACAAACGTGTGAATCAGACTTGCGGGGAGAAAAACAGAACAAGACACAAAGTGAGTGTGAAGTGTTAACGGGAGGGCCGTGGCTTTCAAATTAAAAAAAAACTTTACATGGTAGCATCTACAAAGTCAGCTAAAGACTCAAACTGCAGCTTCAGAATAATCACCTAACAAAAATCAAATACATGATCAAACAGCACTGCTTTTGTTCACCAAGTGTCCAACTGGACTCAAAGTTCAAGGAAACACACAATTTTCTGATGCAGTCCATCAATTTGCAACCATGTGGCCACGTTTTGTGCAGCCAACTCTTTAAAAATCATATCTTACTTTTGTGTGCACGGCMTGCAAAACTGRAATCAAAGCCGTGCACACTGTTTTATCTCACCTCAGCCTGATTTGTGCTCAGCTTGGCAGGTGACGCCAAGTTTATGACTTAATCTACAGAGTACATGTTGGCAATGCCAAAAGGTGGAGCAGTTGTTCAATTATTATTTATCTTAGGGATGCTTTTTGACCCGGGCATGTTCCCCGTCAGAGGTGAGCTTCTGTGCACGTCGAAAGACATTCTAACAGGTCCTTAAAGGGATCCATGATTACCTGTAACATTAGACTTTATTTAATAAACGTATATTTTAACTGTAAAATAAAGACTGTAAAAATACTGTAGGATGTTCAGTTTTTATCATTTTTAAACTAAAAGTTTCCTGCAGGGTGTGTCACAGAAACTGAATAGTCCTGCAGCTCTGAGCCTCCACGTGTTCACGAGACGATTCTTAAAGGGATCCCCGATTACCTGTA